CCCCTCCCTGCAGGTGGCGCCTAGACATTAAGTGCTGGGAAGTCCTGAGTGGCTTCTATCAAGGGTTCAGACAAGTCTTCCTAAAGAGGGGGGGCTGAGAAGATTTTGAAATAAAGAGCAAGACAGAGCAGAGTGGAGGGCCAGCTGTGGGAAGGACTCAAGGTGGGAAAAGGGGGCTGAGTGTCCGCAGCTGTGGTGATGGAGGAGGTCACAGGGGCTCCGCAAGCCCAGTGTGAGCACTGATAGCTGGAAACCGTTTCCTGCTGCTAAGCAGAAGACGGCTCCTCGAAATGTCCACGGGGACTGGAGGGGGACCTGGGAAAGGTTTACGGCGAGGCTAGTAGGAAATGTAACCTCCTCCAGCACCAGCTCTAACCTGAGAAGGTACTGCGGCCTTCCTCCATCCTCATGTCCCCACCCCTAAAACAGAGTGCCCTACGACTTTCTCTGCAGTTTGAGGCCTGGCCCCTGTGTTCCCTGGTCACCTGTCTCCCATGTTTCCCACTCGCCTGGCCCCCATGTTCCCCAGTCTCCTGTGACCTCCCTGTCCCCTCCCTGGCTGTGTCCAGTGCAGGGATTGGCCGGACTGGCTGCTTCATCGCCACCCGAATTGGCTGTCAACAGCTGAAGGCCCGCGGGGAAGTGGACATTCTGGGCATCGTGTGCCAACTGCGGCTGGACAGGTGGGTCTACGGATGTGGACGGGAGCAGCACCGTGGAGGAGTAGCCTCCGTGCTTCCTGGGCTCCAGAGCACTTAGAGGCACCATCAAGCACTCCCTCAAGAAAGGAAGGGGCCCTTGGCTTAAAGAGCTGTTTCTTTTGCACCTAACACCCAGGAAAGAATCTCTATCTAGAATTTTAGCTTGGGGGCCGAGATTGAAATATGCCACTCTGTGGATATCTGAGCCTTACATCTTTTCTGGGTTTGTTTTTTCCAAATTCCCTATTCAGGGAAAGGTGGAGGAATAGGGGATGGTTGGTTCTAAACACTAGGTAGACACAGATAATGCACAGAAGCCCACTGGATCTGGAGAGAGGGAACCAGGGTGCAAATTCTGCCTTGCATCTCACTGAGCTATCATGATCGTTCTCTGGGCCCCCATGTCTTTATCTGGAGAGAAATAATGGCTCCTTCCCCCAGACAGCTGTTGTAAGGAATGAGTTAACTCACTGTGAATGTGTTTCGAATATAAGAACCTACTATACACATATGTGGAATTATTATGTTTACATTTAAGATGGGGAGGAGGAAACTTTGAGGCTCAGGAATAATCCTTGTCCGGCCTGAGGGATCAGGGGCCTGGTTCTGCCCCAGGAACTGATGGGTCAGAGAGGAACAAGTTTCAGTGTGGGCTGTCTCCTCCTCGGCACAGCCAGCCACAGGACCCAGCCCTGAGTATGGGGCCGAGGGGCTGTCCTTGTGGGGAAGGTGTGAGGGGCAGCAAACAGGAGTAGGAAGCCCAGAGGAGGAACATATGAAGTAGCTGACGGGTTCTTTGGGAGAATCTCCCTGGTGAACTATGAAGATGTTTGGCCTGACCCCTCTGCTCGCGGTCTGCTTGCTTCCCTCACAGGGGCGGAATGATCCAGACCACAGAACAGTACCAGTTCCTGCATCACACGCTGGCCCTGTATGCGGCCCAGCTGCCGGAGGAGCCCTGCCCCTGAGCCCTGGCGCCCTCCACCAGCCCAGGTGCCAAAGTCCCCCAGGCCTGGGCAGGTGGGTCTGGGAAAGTGGGCCTTGTGATCTGAGAGACGCCTTGGGTGGGCCTGGAGAAGGGGTGCCCCTCAGGAGGCGCATGCAGTCACCGGAAGCTACATCAGCAAGGACTGGGACCAGACTCCAGGTCTTTACCACTGGCCATTCTTCTGCTTCCTCTAGTAGCCCCAAACGGATACTTAAGGGACCTCCCGTGTCTCTCTGACCTTCGAGCTAGGAGCTGGCATTTACGACAGAGCTGAGAAAGGAGCCCAGGAGTCCTGTCTTTCCCAAAGTACTCTGTGAGCTTCATCTCTCCGTCTAGGACAGGGACATTAGGTGCTTTGCTGCCATAGGGAAAAGTAATCAGAGAAGTTCCTAGAAGCCTCTCCAGCTGTATCTCCTTCCTGGGGCTGGCAAGATAGTGATCCCAAGATCTTCCGCCTGGGCCCTGCCCAAAAACAGGCCAGATGCCAGAGCTGGGAAAAGTCCGGTCCTGACCACAGCCAAGTTCTCAACATCCTAGCAGTGACTCTGTTTCCTCACCCCACATCCGTGAGGGCTGGATAACCCGCCGAAGAGAACAAGAACCCAGACTACCCCTGTGCCCACACTTGAGTCCTGGGATCAGGCTACAGAGGTGACCAGGCCAAGCAGTTGAAACCTCTGGAAGAGGGAAAGTATGGGGGCCCCTCAGCGGTCCAGAGGGCTACCCCTACCTCCATAATTGCCAGCCACTCACCCCAGCTACTCCCTAGGGAGGCCCAGCATCCTCTGTCTTCTCCTTCCATGACCTTGGAAGATCCCGGGGTAGGAGGAGGTACAAAAGAACAAGGAGTGAGGGAGAAACAAAGAGCTTGGCCTGATTTTAGAAAACCAGCCCCCGGCCCCCACCCCCTGCATTTGCAGAAGGCACCTGGAGAGCCTGGCTGCTTCCACGAACAATTGGGTGAACCCATTCCATGCAGACCTGGGGCCTCAGACTAAATTGGGGTCCCTCATAGTCTATCCCAGAGAACGAACTCCCTTCATCATCTCAGTATCAACACAATTTCCAGGGCACCCAAGATCTATCTCAGGGCTCACCTACACACCTCCGGGAAGACATCTAAATCCTTCGTCCTTGAACCCAAGATGGGTTGCCTGTGGCGATGAAGGAAGGCATCATCTCTCCGGGCACGCAGCCCCTGCGGTCTGCTTTGGCTGATGCCGGTTCTCTGCGGAATCCCCCAAGGAGCTAGATCCTGGAGAACAGCTGAGCCTCCTCATTCATGACATCTCTTCGGAAGAACCCACAATGTTGAATCTGAAGTGAATTTTCTTAATGCTTCTGCTTGGTCTCACAGTGGGCTCTCCTGCAGCTGCACCTTGCCTAACCCCTATGGGAGGCACTCACAGCTTGTGACCGTGAAGCCAGGCAAAGAGTTCTCAAGCGCCTGATCCTGCCCTAAGCTCACACCCAGCTGGGAGGAAAGCAACTGCATGAGCATGGGCCCAGAGGCTCCCCTCCCTGGCACTGTCGCCCCGACCCCGTTCTAGAACTTAGAGAGTATAAGCTCTAAAAGAGGAACCAAGTGGGAGAATAAAGGCTTTTTGGATGACTGATTCATTCCTTCTTTCCATCTTTTTCTCAGGCCTCCGGAGCCTCTTTATAGCAATAGAGTAAGAATCCATAGGCCAGGAATAGGCTGCAGATCCTTATCCCAGGATATGCACATTTCTAGCACTTCTTGAGACATCAAAGTGACACTGGAGTCAGTTTAGGAAATGGGGCAGAGGTGTACCCTAGGAGCTAGATAGGGACCTATTAAGGGGCAGAAGCTAGAAAGATGATACTTTGTGATCCCTCCACTTTGGCCACTGTCTGATCATTTGGAGTCATCTTGGGTACGTTTGACGGATATGGCTTAGGTCGACAGTTTATGCACTTTTAACTAGAACAATAGACTACATGTGAGTACGTTTGAAAACCAAATACTGGGGTGCCGGGTTGGCTCAGTCAGCTAAGCATCTGCCTTCCACTGGGGTCATGATCTCAGAGTCCTGGGATCAAGCCCCACGTGGGGGGCTCCCTGCTCAGCAGGGAGTCTCCTTCTCCTTCTCCTTGTGCCCCTCCCTCCCATTCATGCTCTCTCTTTCAAATAAATAGATAAAATCTTAGGAAGGAAGAAAGAAAAAAAGAAAGAAAGAAAGCCAAATACTAAGGAGCACCCATCCTAGGTGGGGGCCTGCCCTGAAGCCTGGGACCATTGGGGAACAGCCAGCCCTGGGGTTCCGCAGGCCCTGTGGCTACATCCTCTGAGGCAGGCAGCATCTTGGCCTGCCCTACACCTCCCGCCGACAGTTCTCCTCCTGAAGAAAACTTTGGCTTTCGCCAAAACAGGCCAACTTTTTCATCCACCACACATCTTCCTCACTGGAAACCGTCCCCACCCCCAAGCAGGATTTTATCTGTGAATTATGGTGATACTAGGGAAAATCAGCATCAGCCTCAAACAGCTATTTCACTTAGGGCCGGAGGCTTCCTAAACAAGCAGTTCAGGTAAACTGTGGTTAACAAAACAAGATGGAGTATTAACACACCCAAACCCGGTTGTTACTCTCCACTGGTTAGGTTTTGAGAGGATAAGACTCAGTCCCCAGAGATGTTCAGAGGCAAGGACTCAGGGAACAAAAAGCCTCCATCGGCCGGCCTTTCATAGAGATCTCATCTCCGGGTCCTGGCAAGTGGGTGAACCATCCTCCTCCACCCTGCTTAACGGGGACCTCACCCACCTCGGGCCCACCACCCTTTAGGAAGGAACGGGGTGCCAGCCAGGGCGCGGCAGCCCGGGAAAATAGATTAGACCTCTTTCCCCGAGTGCCCCCGGACGCCAGCAGGCGCAGGCCGTACCGCGGAGGCGCGAGAGCTCCCCGCGCAGCCCACCCGCCGGCCGGGCTCGGGGCGAGGGAGGGGCG